ACCAAATTTTGAGCTCAAAATATCAGTGATTGTTTCGACGTACATTAATTGCGGCCAAGTGGTCTAGTGGTATGATTCTCGCTTTGGGTGCGAGAGGTCCCGGTTTCGATCACCGGCTTGGCCCAAATTTTTGATCTCGTTGATTAGCAACCCGTTGAGCTGTGGACTTCTACATCATACCAAATTTTGAGCTCAAAATATCAGTGATTGTTTCGACGTACAGTAATTGCGGCCAAGTGGTCTAGTGGTATGATTTCTCGCTTTGGGTGCGAGAGGTCCCGGTTTCGATCACCGGCATGCAACTTCTTGATCTCGTTGATTAGCAACCCGTTGAGCTGTGGACTTCTACATCATACCAAATTTTGAGCTCAAAATATCAGTGATTGTTTCGACGTACAGTAATTGCGGCCAAGTGGTCTAGTGGTATGATTCTCGCTTTGGGTGCGAGAGGTCCCGGTTTCGATCACCGGCATGCCAACTTCTTGATCTCGTTGATTAGCAACCCGTTGAGCTGTGGACTTCTACATCATACCAAATTTTGAGCTCAAAATATCAGTGATTGTTTCGACGTACAGTAATTGCGGCCAAGTGGTCTAGTGGTATGATTCTCGCTTTGGGTGCGAGAGGTCCCGGTTTCGATCACCGGCTTGGCCCAACTTTTGATCTCGTTGATTAGCAATCCGTTGAGCTGTGGACTTCTACATCATACCAAATTTTGAGCTCAAAATATCAGTGATTGTTTCGACGAACAGTAATTGCGGCCAAGTGGTCTAGTGGTATGATTCTCGCTTTGGGTGCGAGAGGTCCCGGTTTCGATCACCGGCTTGTCCCAGATTTTTGATCTCGTTGATTAGCAATCCGTTGAGCTGTGGACTTCTACATCATACCAAATTTTGAGCTCAAAATATCAGCGATTGTTTCGACGAACGGTAATTGCGGCCAAGTGGTCTAGTGGTATGATTCTCGCTTTGGGTGCGAGAGGTCCCGGTTTCGATCACCGGCTTGGCCCAATTTTTGATCTCGTTGATTAGCAATCCGTTGAGCTGTGGACTTCTACATCATACCAAATTTTGAGCTCAAAATATCAGTGATTGTTTCGACGTACAGTAATTGCGGCCAAGTGGTCTAGTGGTATGATTCTCGCTTTGGGTGCGAGAGGTCCCGGTTTCGATCACCGGCTTGCCAATTCTTGATCTCGTTGATTAGCAACCCGTTGAGCTGTGGACTTCTACATCATACCAAATTTTGAGCTCAAAATATCAGTGATTGTTTCGACGACAGTAATTGCGGCCAAGTGGTCTAGTGGTATGATTCTCGCTTTGGGTGCGAGAGGTCCCGGTTTCGATCACCGGCATGCCAACTTCTTGATCTCGTTGATTAGCAACCCGTTGAGCTGTGGACTTCTACATCATACCAAATTTTGAGCTCAAAATATCAGTGATTGTTTCGACGTACAGTAATTGCGGCCAAGTGGTCTAGTGGTATGATTCTCGCTTTGGGTGCGAGAGGTCCCGGTTTCGATCACCGGCATGCCAACTTCTTGATCTCGTTGATTAGCAACCCGTTGAGCTGTGGACTTCTACATCATACCAAATTTTGAGCTCAAAATATCAGTGATTGTTTCGACGTACATTAATTGCGGCCAAGTGGTCTAGTGGTATGATTCTCGCTTTGGGTGCGAGAGGTCCCGGTTTCGATCACCGGCTTGGCCCAATTTTTGATCTCGTTGATTAGCAATCCGTTGAGCTGTGGACTTCTACATCATACCAAATTTTGAGCTCAAAATATCAGTGATTGTTTCGACGTGCAGTAATTGCGGCCAAGTGGTCTAGTGGTATGATTCTCGCTTTGGGTGCGAGAGGTCCCGGTTTCGATCACCGGCTTGGCCCAAATTTTTGATCTCGTTGTTAGCAATCCGTTGAGCTGTGGACTTCTACATCATACCAAATTTTGAGCTCAAAATATCAGTGATTGTTTCGACGTACAGTAATTGCGGCCAAGTGGTCTAGTAGTATGATTCTCGCTTTGGGTGCGAGAGGTCCCGGTTTCGATCACCGGCATGCAACTTCTTGATCTCGTTGATTAGCAACCCGTTGAGCTGTGGACTTCTACATCATACCAAATTTTGAACTCAACATATCAGTGATTGTTTCGACGTACAGTAATTGCGGCCAAGTGGTCTAGTGGTATGATTCTCGCTTTGGGTGCGAGAGGTCCCGGTTTCGATCACCGGCTTGGCCCAAACTTTTGATCTCGTTTTTAGCAATCCGTTGAGCTGTGGACTTCTACATCATACCAAATTTTGAGCTCAAAATATCAGCGATTGTTTCGACGAACGGTAATTGCGGCCAAGTGGTCTAGTGGTATGATTCTCGCTTTGGGTGCGAGAGGTCCCGGTTTCGATCACCGGCTTGTCCCAGATTTTTGATCTCGTTGATTAGCAATCCGTTGAGCTGTGGACTTCTACATCATACCAAATTTTGAGCTCAAAATATCAGTGATTGTTTCGACGAACAGTAATTGCGGCCAAGTGGTCTAGTGGTATGATTCTCGCTTTGGGTGCGAGAGGTCCCGGTTTCGATCACCGGCTTGGCCCAAATTTTTGATCTCGCTTTTAGCAATCCGTTGAGCTGTGGACTTCTACATCATACCAAATTTTGAGCTCAAAATATCAGTGATTGTTTCGACGTACAGTAATTGCGGCCAAGTGGTCTAGTAGTATGATTCTCGCTTTGGGTGCGAGAGGTCACGGTTTCGATCACCGGCATGCCAACTTCTTGATCTCGTTGATTAGCAACCCGTTGAGCTGTGGACTTCTACATCATACCAAATTTTGAGCTCAAAATATCAGTGATTGTTTCGACGTACAGTAATTGCGGCCAAGTGGTCTAGTGGTATGATTCTCGCTTTGGGTGCGAGAGGTCCCGGTTTCGATCACCGGCATGCCAACTTCTTGATCTCGTTGATTAGCAACCCGTTGAGCTGTGGACTTCTACATCATACCAAATTTTGAGCTCAAAATATCAGTGATTGTTTCGACGTACAGTAATTGCGGCCAAGTGGTCTAGTGGTATGATTCTCGCTTTGGGTGCGAGAGGTCCCTGTTTCGATCACCGGCTGGCCCAAATTTTTGATCTCGTTGTTAGCAATCCGTTGAGCTGTGGACTTCTACATCATACCAAATTTTGAGCTCAAAATATCAGTGATTGTTTCGACGTACAGTAATTGCGGCCAAGTGGTCTAGTGGTATGATTCTCGCTTTGGGTGCGAGAGGTCCCGGTTTCGATCACCGGCTTGGCCAACTTCTTGATCTCGTTGATTAGCAACCCGTTGAGCTGTGGACTTCTACATCATACCAAATTTTGAGCTCAAAATATCAGTGATTGTTTCGACGTACAGTAATTGCGGCCAAGTGGTCTAGTGGTATGATTCTCGCTTTGGGTGCGAGAGGTCCCGGTTTCGATCACCGGCTTGGCCCAAACTTTTGATCTCGTTGTTAGCAATCCGTTGAGCTGTGGACTTCTACATCATACCAAATTTTGAGCTCAAAATATCAGCGATTGTTTCGACGAACGGTAATTGCGGCCAAGTGGTCTAGTGGTATGATTTTCGCTTTGGGTGCGAGAGGTCCCGGTTTCGATCACCGGCTTGTCCCAGATTTTTGATCTCGTTGATTAGCAATCCGTTGAGCTGTGGACTTCTACATCATACCAAATTTTGAGCTCAAAATATCAGCGATTGTTTCGACGAACGTAATTGCGGCCAAGTGGTCTAGTGGTATGATTTTCGCTTTGGGTGCGAGAGGTCCCGGTTTCGATCACCGGCTGGCCCAAATTTTTGATCTCGCTTGATTAGCAATCCGTTGAGCTGTGGACTTCTACATCATACCAAATTTTGAGCTCAAAATATCAGTGATTGTTTCGACGTACAGTAATTGCGGCCAAGTGGTCTAGTAGTATGATTCTCGCTTTGGGTGCGAGAGGTCACGGTTTCGATCACCGGCATGGCAACTTCTTGATCTCGTTGATTAGCAACCCGTTGAGCTGTGGACTTCTACATCATACCAAATTTTGAGCTCAAAATATCAGTGATTGTTTCGACGTACAGTAATTGCGGCCAAGTGGTCTAGTGGTATGATTCTCGCTTTGGGTGCGAGAGGTCCCGGTTTCGATCACCGGCATGGCCAACTTCTTGATCTCGTTGATTAGCAACCCGTTGAGCTGTGGACTTCTACATCATACCAAATTTTGAGCTCAAAATATCAGTGATTGTTTCGACGTACAGTAATTGCGGCCAAGTGGTCTAGTGGTATGATTCTCGCTTTGGGTGCGAGAGGTCCCGGTTTCGATCACCGGCTTGGCCCAAATTTTTGATCTCGTTGATTAGCAATCCGTTGAGCTGTGGACTTCTACATCATACCAAATTTTGAACTCAAAATATCAGTGATTGTTTCGACGTAGTAATTGCGGCCAAGTGGTCTAGTGGTATGATTCTCGCTTTGGGTGCGAGAGGTCCCGGTTTCGATCACCGGCTTGTCCCAGATTTTTGATCTCGTTGATTAGCAATCCGTTGAGCTGTGGACTTCTACATCATACCAAATTTTGAGCTCAAAATATCAGTGATTGTTTCGACGAACGGTAATTGCGGCCAAGTGGTCTAGTGGTATGATTCTCGCTTTGGGTGCGAGAGGTCCCTGTTTCGATCAACGGCTCGGCCCAAATTTTTGATCTCGCTTTTAGCAATCCGTTGAGCTGTGGACTTCTACATCATACCAAATTTTGAGCTCAAAATATCAGTGATTGTTTCGACGTACATTAATTGCGGCCAAGTGGTCTAGTGGTATGATTCTCGCTTCGGGTGCGAGAGGTCCCGGTTTCGATCACCGGCTTGGCCCAAATTTTTGATCTCGTTGATTAGCAACCCGTTGAGCTGTGGACTTCTACATCATACCAAATTTTGAGCTCAAAATATCAGTGATTGTTTCGACGTACAGTAATTGCGGCCAAGTGGTCTAGTAGTATGATTCTCGCTTTGCGTGCGAGAGGTCACGGTTTCGATCACCGGCATGCAACATCTTGATCTCGTTGATTAGCAACCCGTTGAGCTGTGGACTTCTACATCATACCAAATTTTGAGCTCAAAATATCAGTGATTGTTTCGACGCACAGTAATTGCGGCCAAGTGGTCTAGTGGTATGATTTTCGCTTTGGGTGCGAGAGGTCCCGGTTTCGATCACCGGCTTGGCCAACTTCTTGATCTCGTTGATTAGCAACCCGTTGAGCTGTGGACTTCTACATCATACCAAATTTTGAGCTCAAAATATCAGTGATTGTTTCGACGAACAGTAATTGCGGCCAAGTGGTCTAGTGGTATGATTCTCGCTTTGGGTGCGAGAGGTCCCGGTTTCGATCACCGGCATGCCAACTTCTTGATCTCGTTGATTAGCAACCCGTTGAGCTGTGGACTTCTACATCATACCAAATTTTGAGCTCAAAATATCAGTGATTGTTTCGACGTACAGTAATTGCGGCCAAGTGGTCTAGTGGTATGATTCTCGCTTTGGGTGCGAGAGGTCCCGGTTTCGATCACCGGCTTGTCCCAGATTTTTGATCTCGTTGATTAGCAATCCGTTGAGCTGTGGACTTCTACATCATACCAAATTTTGAGCTCAAAATATCAGCGATTGTTTCGACGAACAGTAATTGCGGCCAAGTGGTCTAGTGGTATGATTTTCGCTTTGGGTGCGAGAGGTCCCTGTTTCGATCAACGGCTCGGCCCAAATTTTTGATCTCGTTGTTAGCAATCCGTTGAGCTGTGGACTTCTACATCATACCAAATTTTGAGCTCAAAATATCAGTGATTGTTTCGACGTACATTAATTGCGGCCAAGTGGTCTAGTGGTATGATTCTCGCTTTGGGTGCGAGAGGTCCCGGTTTCGATCACCGGCTTGTCCCAGATTTTGATCTCGTTGATTAGCAATCCGTTGAGCTGTGGACTTCTACATCATACCAAATTTTGAGCTCAAAATATCAGCGATTGTTTCGACGAACGGTAATTGCGGCCAAGTGGTCTAGTGGTATGATTTTCGCTTTGGGTGCGAGAGGTCCCTGTTTCGATCACCGGCTCGGCCCAAATTTTTGATCTCGCTTTTAGCAATCCGTTGAGCTGTGGACTTCTACATCATACCAAATTTTGAGCTCAAAATATCAGTGATTGTTTCGACGTACAGTAATTGCGGCCAAGTGGTCTAGTGGTATGATTCTCGCTTTGGGTGCGAGAGGTCCCGGTTTCGATCACCGGCTTGGCCCAAATTTTTGATCTCGTTGATTAGCAACCCGTTGAGCTGTGGACTTCTACATCATACCAAATTTTGAGCTCAAAATATCAGTGATTGTTTCGACGTACAGTAATTGCGGCCAAGTGGTCTAGTGGTATGATTCTCGCTTTGGGTGCGAGAGGTCCCGGTTTCGATCACCGGCATGCAACTTCTTGATCTCGTTGATTAGCAACCCGTTGAGCTGTGGACTTCTACATCATACCAAATTTTGAGCTCAAAATATCAGTGATTGTTTCGACGTACAGTAATTGCGGCCAAGTGGTCTAGTGGTATGATTCTCGCTTTGGGTGCGAGAGGTCCCGGTTTCGATCACCGGCATGCAACTTCTTGATCTCGTTGATTAGCAACCCGTTGAGCTGTGGACTTCTACATCATACCAAATTTTGAGCTCAAAATATCAGTGATTGTTTCGACGTACAGTAATTGCGGCCAAGTGGTCTAGTGGTATGATTCTCGCTTTGGGTGCGAGAGGTCCCGGTTTCGATCACCGGCATGCAACTTCTTGATCTCGTTGATTAGCAACCCGTTGAGCTGTGGACTTCTACATCATACCAAATTTTGAGCTCAAAATATCAGTGATTGTTTCGACGTACAGTAATTGCGGCCAAGTGGTCTAGTGGTATGATTCTCGCTTTGGGTGCGAGAGGTCCCGGTTTCGATCACCGGCTTGTCCCAATTTTTGATCTCGTTGATTAGCAATCCGTTGAGCTGTGGACTTCTACATCATACCAAATTTTGAGCTCAAAATATCAGTGATTGTTTCGACGAACAGTAATTGCGGCCAAGTGGTCTAGTGGTATGATTCTCGCTTTGGGTGCGAGAGGTCCCGGTTTCGATCACCGGCTTGGCCCAATTTTTGATCTCGTTGATTAGCAATCCGTTGAGCTGTGGACTTCTACATCATACCAAATTTTGAGCTCAAAATATCAGTGATTGTTTCGACTTACATTAATTGCGGCCAAGTGGTCTAGTGGTATGATTCTCGCTTTGGGTGCGAGAGGTCCCGGTTTCGATCACCGGCTTGGCCCAAATTTTGATCTCGTTGATTAGCAACCCGTTGAGCTGTGGACTTCTACATCATACCAAATTTTGAGCTCAAAATATCAGTGATTGTTTCGACGTACAGTAATTGCGGCCAAGTGGTCTAGTGGTATGATTTTCGCTTTGGGTGCGAGAGGTCCCGGTTTCGATCACCGGCTTGGCCCAAACTTTTGATCTCGTTTTTAGCAATCCGTTGAGCTGTGGACTTCTACATCATACCAAATTTTGAGCTCAAAATATCAGCGATTGTTTCGACGAACGGTAATTGCGGCCAAGTGGTCTAGTGGTATGATTCTCGCTTTGGGTGCGAGAGGTCCCGGTTTCGATCACCGGCTTGGCCCAAATTTTTGATCTCGCTTTTAGCAATCCGTTGAGCTGTGGACTTCTACATCATACCAAATTTTGAGCTCAAAATATCAGTGATTGTTTCGACGATACAGTAATTGCGGCCAAGTGGTCTAGTGGTATGATTCTCGCTTTGGGTGCGAGAGGTCCCGGTTTCGATCACCGGCATGCCAACTTCTTGATCTCGTTGATTAGCAACCCGTTGAGCTGTGGACTTCTACATCATACCAAATTTTGAGCTCAAAATATCAGTGATTGTTTCGACGCATAGTAATTGCGGCCAAGTGGTCTAGTGGTATGATTCTCGCTTTGGGTGCGAGAGGTCCCGGTTTCGATCACCGGCTTGGCCCAAACTTTTGATCTCGTTGTTAGCAATCCGTTGAGCTGTGGACTTCTACATCATACGAAATTTTGAGCTCAAAATATCAGTGTTTGTTTCGTAGAATAGTAATTGCGGCCAAGTGGTCTAGTGGTATGATTCTCGCTTTGGGTGCGAGAGGTCCCGGTTTCGATCACCGGCTTGCCCAGATTTTTGATCTCGTTGATTAGCAACCCGTTGAGCTGTGGACTTCTACATCATACCAAATTTTGAGCTCAAAATATCAGTGATTGTTTCGACGTACAGTAATTGCGGCCAAGTGGTCTAGTGGTATGATTTTCGCTTTGGGTGCGAGAGGTCCCGGTTTCGATCACCGGCTTGGCCCAAATTTTTGATCTCGTTGATTAGCAACCCGTTGAGCTGTGGACTTCTACATCATACCAAATTTTGAGCTCAAAATATCAGTGATTGTTTCGACGTACATTAATTGCGGCCAAGTGGTCTAGTGGTATGATTCTCGCTTTGGGTGCGAGAGGTCCCGGTTTCGATCACCGGCTTGGCCCAACTTTTGATCTCGTTTTAGCAATCCGTTGAGCTGTGGACTTCTACATCATACCAAATTTTGAACTCAACATATCAGTGATTGTTTCGACGTACAGTAATTGCGGCCAAGTGGTCTAGTGGTATGATTCTCGCTTTGGGTGCGAGAGGTCCCGGTTTCGATCACCGGCATGCAACTTCTTGATCTCGTTGATTAGCAACCCGTTGAGCTGTGGACTTCTACATCATACCAAATTTTGAGCTCAAAATATCAGTGATTGTTTCGACGTAAGTAATTGCGGCCAAGTGGTCTAGTGGTATGATTCTCGCTTTGGGTGCGAGAGGTCCCGGTTTCGATCACCGGCTTGGCCCAAATTTTTGATCTCGTTGATTAGCAATCCGTTGAGCTGTGGACTTCTACATCATACCAAATTTTGAGCTCAAAATATCAGTGATTGTTTCGACGTACAGTAATTGCGGCCAAGTGGTCTAGTGGTATGATTCTCGCTTTGGGTGCGAGAGGTCCCGGTTTCGATCACCGGCTTGGCCCAAACTTTTGATCTCGTTTTTAGCAATCCGTTGAGCTGTGGACTTCTACATCATACCAAATTTTGAGCTCAAAATATCAGTGATTGTTTCGACGTACAGTAATTGCGGCCAAGTGGTCTAGTGGTATGATTCTCGCTTTGGGTGCGAGAGGTCCCGGTTTCGATCACCGGCTTGGCCCAAATTTTTGATCTCGTTGATTAGCAACCCGTTGAGCTGTGGACTTCTACATCATACCAAATTTTGAGCTCAAAATATCAGTGATTGTTTCGACGTACAGTAATTGCGGCCAAGTGGTCTAGTGGTATGATTCTCGCTTTGCGTGCGAGAGGTCCCGGTTTCGATCACCGGCATGCAACTTCTTGATCTCGTTGATTAGCAACCCGTTGAGCTGTGGACTTCTACATCATACCAAATTTTGAGCTCAAAATATCAGTGATTGTTTCGACGCACAGTAATTGCGGCCAAGTGGTCTAGTGGTATGATTCTCGCTTTGGGTGCGAGAGGTCCCGGTTTCGATCACCGGCTTGGCCCAAACTTTTGATCTCGTTGTTAGCAATCCGTTGAGCTGTGGACTTCTACATCATACCAAATTTTGAGCTCAAAATATCAGTGATTGTTTCGACGAACAGTAATTGCGGCCAAGTGGTCTAGTGGTATGATTCTCGCTTTGGGTGCGAGAGGTCCCGGTTTCGATCACCGGCTTGGCCCAAATTTTTGATCTCGTTGATTAGCAATCCGTTGAGCTGTGGACTTCTACATCATACCAAATTTTGAGCTCAAAATATCAGTGATTGTTTCGACGTACAGTAATTGCGGCCAAGTGGTCTAGTGGTATGATTCTCGCTTTGGGTGCGAGAGGTCCCGGTTTCGATCACCGGCTTGCCCAGATTTTTGATCTCGTTGATTAGCAACCCGTTGAGCTGTGGACTTCTACATCATACCAAATTTTG